TAACTAACTAACTAACTAACTAACTAACTAACTAACTAACTAACTAACTAACTAACTACTAACTAACTAACTAACTAACTAACTAACTAACTAACTAACTAACTAACTACTAACTAACTAACTACTAACTAACTAACTAACTAACTAACTAACTAACTAACTAACTAACTAACTAACTAACTAACTAACTAACTAACTAACTAACTAACTAACTAACTAACTAACTAACTAACTAACTAACTAACTAACTAACTAACTAACTAACTAACTAACTAACTAACTAACTAACTAACTAACTAACTAACTACTAACTAACTAACTAACTAACTAACTACTAACTAACTAACTAACTAACTAACTAACTAACTAACTAACTAACTAACTAACTAACTAACTAACTAACTAACTAACTAACTAACTAACTAACTAACTAACTACTAACTAACTAACTAACTACTAACTAACTAACTAACTAACTAACTAACTAACTACTAACTAACTACTAACTAACTAAACTAACTAACTAACTAACTAACTAACTAACTAACCTAACTAACTAACTAACTAACTAACTAACTACTAACTAACTAACTAACTAACTAACTAACTAACTAACTAACTAACTAACCTAACTACTAACTAACTAACTAACTAACTAACTAACTAACTAACTAACTAACTAACTAACTAACTAACTAACTAACTAACTAACTACTAACTAACTAACTAACTAACTAACTAACTAACTAACTAACTAACTAACTAACTAACTAACTAACTAACTAACTAACTAACTAACTACTAACTAACTAACTAACTAACTAACTAACTAACTAACTAACTAACTAACTAAACTAACTACTAACTAACTAACTAACTAACTAACTAACTAACTAACTAACTAACTAACTAACTAACTAACTACTAACTAACTAACTAACTAACTAACTAACTAACTAACTAACTAACTAACTAACTAACTAACTAACTAACTAACTAACTAACTAACTAACTAACTAACTAACTAAATAACTAACTAACTAACTAAATAACTAACTAACTAACTAACTATTTTTGGAGGAAGATCTCATTGTGGGCGTGCGTAATGTTTTCATAATGTCAGTATGAAAAATTATCGAAATAGAAGATAATTAGAGGTGAAACGCCCACTTTATTATCCTGCCCACTTTAATTCTAAATACATATAATTGTAATAGTACAATAATTATAAAAATACTTGCGTTTTCATTTTTATGGAAGCTACTATGAAATTTTCACAAAAATTGCTGCAAGCCCCCTTTAAGGACCACTATACAGGACTGGTATTTACTTGGAAGGTACCACGGCTATTTAAGAGGCTTTGTCATAATTAAGGAGAGTAGAAACAAACACAGCAATTCCAAAAACTTTGGATCGAATGTACAAACATTTAGATGTCTCTAAGTTGAATTTAAATACAATTTCCTAACTCATAGTTCTAATAACTGTTAAACATAAGTAATATAATATTTATAAGGGAATGAAAACAAAGTTTACCAGCTATTCTTTACTCACTTTTAAACTTTTTACCTTAAAACATTTCAACAAAACATTTAAATAATATCAAATGTTTAACATTCCCTAGTGGGCATTTAAAATGAAATAAAACTTAGTTTTTATTTTGTAAAAATATTTCTTACTCTCGTGCTTTTTATATATACGTACATATATATTTTGTTCAGAATCATGTTAAGTACTATTTAATGTCATAAGTTTTTCCTTTTGTTTTTTTTTTTCGGCAAACTTTTTTTATAGTAATAAATTACATTTTGTTTGCCTTTTAAGTATTATAAAACATTAGGCTAGCCTGGTTTTGTGTGGACAAAGTTTAAAGTTTGAAAAAAAGTAAGTTATTCGAAGAGCAATATTTTCAAAATAGTGCCTGATGGAACGACTTCAGATTTAGATCTCGAAGACATGTAGCAGCTTTAGAATATTAAACTCAACAAACATACGAAAGATAGACTAACTAAAGAAATTGAAGGATATAATAAGGATATACCATAATAAATTGGTTCGTAAGATCTATTTTAATATTACTATGACTTAAGTCATTAAGAATTGCTTAAATTTAGGGCTATCCTAATACACACATAATTTATAGAAATATGATATGAAAAATGTTCAATATTATGCCGATAAATTGTACAGATGTTGTGATGATTGTTTTATAATTTTCTTTCAAGTCTGTGATAATAAAGAGAAAACATATTTTTTGGTCGTTCTGTTAAAACGTATCAAACGCCTAAAATCCCTTTTCAAATATATGTATTTTAGTATATACTTCATGCCACGCAGGAGCAGTATCTTCAGATTATTTCTTCAAAAGGCTGAAAATAGGTGGACTAACCTAGACACATTTAAAGGGGCCAAGTTATTGTGACCCTCCTTCAATGAGAAACGCATGAGACACATTATAAACAGAAGTAGGCGGGATATATCGAGGTTGATAGCAATAATAATAGGACACTGTGTGCTAAGCAGACATGTGAGTAGGCTTGGGTTTCCCTTCAATGAACAAAGAAATGGTATTTCATCCACTCTCTGAATGCCCAACTCTAGCCGTTAAGATAAACTGATTTCTTGGTAGTTACTTCATATCTAACCTTAGTGCGATATCGGCTCTAAACTTATCTGGATCTAATACTATACAATACTACATCTGGCGAGTGGAGTGGTCCGGTCAAAACGAAATATCTCCGACTCTATTTGACTGCTCGCGCGCGGTGATCTATCACGTTAACCAATCATAGTTAGTTGAAGTTTGAGGACTCTATCTATAGAACTTCATGTATACAACCTTTAGCTTGTATGAGAGTCAAGGAGGATACAGGAGCATACAACGAAACTTTCAATAAATTCGCGTTTATAGACTTCAAACATACAAGCAATCACACATTAATTATACCCTACACCACCATAGCGGGGATGGTATTATACATTTGTGCTGATGTTTATAATGCTCAGAAATATTGGGCCTACACCCACCTTAAAATATACCGATCGACTCAGAATCACTTTCTGAGTCGATTAAGCCATGTCCGTCCGTCCGTTCGTCTGTCCGGCTGGCAGTCCATGTAAACATTGTGCGCAAGGTGCAGGTCACAATTTTCAAGATATTTTGATGAAATTTGAAAATACGCGTTTTTCGACGAAGCCTATTGATTTTCGTAATTATCGGACTTTATTTGACCTTAGACCCCATACAAAGTCCCCTTCAGAAAATGACTTGAAGGTCAATAATTCACTTATAAACACTAGTATCACAATGAAATCCCCCCATACATAACTCTTATGTAAACGTAAATCCATGTACCAAAATTTATAAGGATAGGCCCATATTTACCCTTGCCCCCATATAACTTCTCTTTTAGAAAAACACTTTTTTCAAAAAAAAATGTTAAAATATTTCGGAATTAAGGTAAACAACTTAAATGCTTTATTATTAAAAATAATCCATATTTTTAACATACTCAATGATTTAGGGTATCATATGGTCGGCCACGCCGACTATACATTCCTACTTGTTTTTATATATAAATATTAGTATTAATTGTTCAAAAATTTAATAATTAGGGTTAGGATTAGACTTATTATGACATCATCTCAATTGAAAATGTTTAAGAATTAATTAGAACTAAATTAATAAAAATAATTGCCGACTTTTAGGTTTAATTTTTTAAACAGCTTAAAAACTAATAATAGAAAAACTAAACGGTAAAATTAGTTTCAAAATTTACATTTTTTAAATTGATCTAAAAATCTTTTCAGTAAAAATTATTTCATATTTTTATATTATTAAAAAAATTAAAACTCTTAAACTCAGCCTAAATGTACTCAACCAAAATTAACACCTTATAACAAATTTCCTGTTAACAAAAGAAAATTGGGAAAAAAATATTTTTTTTTTATATTTCCACAAAAATTTACATAATTTTCTACTTAACCTTGTCTTGTTAGTACAAAACAGCTGACACCAAATACAAAAAAATAATAACTTTTGAAAACCCCTAAAAGTATGCCTTAAAAAACGAAATGAATATTTCCAATACTTTAACACTGCTTCATTTTTTCAAGTCCTTAAAAATAACAACAGTAAAAAAACAAATAAAAAATGATTCAAACTGACAGCTAAGTTTTTTCTCTTTTTGTCAGTTTGACTTTTGATTGACACTATTAAGTAAATATATAAAGCAAAATGTCATAACTGTCCTTAAAAAAACACAAGCGGAAAAAATCAATAGGCACCTAGTGCTTTAAAAAAATATATATATAGGGAAAAAAGCAATAAGGACTATAAGAACTATATATAAAAAATATATATACACTCCTCTCCAAAAAAGGCAAAAAACTAAAAAAAAAATCACTATTTCACTAACATTTTGTCACAAAATGAAAAAAAAAAGAAAAATTCTTTACCTACATTTGAACATCCTATCAAATCACTTTCATATCTCATATACATATATGCAACCGCCATAAATTCAAATGATAATGACATTCTGAGGTTCAGCGCAGAGAATATGGTAGTAGTTTTTTATTTGACCCCCCCTCTCATGCCCGACCCCCACTTTTGTTTGGTCCCCGCAAAAAGGACTTGTATATAAGAAATATTGAACAGAAAAAAAAACTACAAACAGAAACATCATAGTTTTATGGAGGATTAATGATTTATTTTTGTGGCCACAACATCAACAACTAAAACAACTACAACAACAAGTATTACAACAGTATTCAAACACCTTAAACTTATAGATTTGAAACAAAACAAAAAAGAAAAGAAATCAAAATGTATTTCTGTAAAACTATAAACAGAAAATAAAAACAAACAAATGTACAGATAAGTAGCGTCTTATGAAAACTTTAAACAAGTTGTATTATGCCGTTTTATTTATTAAAATCCATATTAATCAAACATTTTCTTTTTTTTGTTTTCTCCTTTTTATTTGGCCTGTTTTTAGGAGTTACAATTTTACTATCACTTACTGTGTTCCTTAATATGGTGGCCGAAACAATGCCGGCTACATCAGATGCTGTGCCACTATTGGGTAAGTTGTTGTTGTAAAGAAATTTTCGTCCAAAAACATAAAACTGCTGCATTTTTAGTAAGTAAATGTTTTGGTTTATTTTAATAGAAGAAAAGGTTTATAAGCCTAAAAGTTGGCTTTAGTTATTTAAAATTATATAAGCCTTAAAGTAGGCTTAAGAAATTAAGTATTTAAGAAATGTTTTATAAATTGCAGGTATTAATATGTAAAAAATTTCTTAATTTTACAGACTTATTGTAAGAATTATTTTATGTTTAAAATATTTTCTTAAAACGAGGGTTGTGTAAGAAATGTCTGCCCAAAGCTTTAGTTCATAGAAGAGTCCATAGACTAGTTCCTAGAATAGTCCACAGAGTAGTCGATAGACAAGCCCACATACTATTCATGTGGACCAGTTTACAGACTAGTCAATAGACTGGACCACAGACTTGTCCATGGACTAGTCAATAGAAAAATTATAGGTTATTCTGAAGACTACTCAAAAGACTAGTCCATAGAATAGTCAATAGACTAGTCCACAGTATAGTAAATATACTAGTCCACAGACTATTCAAAAGACTAGTTTCTTTACTAGTTCATAGACTATTTGCTAGTCCACAGACTAGTCAATATACTCTTTAATAGACTAAACCACATACTAGTCAATAAACTCGTCCATAGACTAGTCCATAAGCTAGCCCATAGTCCATATACAAGTCAATAAATCAGTCCATAGAATAGTTAATAGACTAATACATGAACATAAAATAGTCTATAGATTAGTACATACACTAGTACATAGAATAGTCCAAAAACTAGTTCACAGATAGATTATCAATAAATTGAATAATAAATATACTGTAGCCAATAGTCTAGTTAACAGACTAGTTAATAGACTACTCACTAATCCACAGACTAGTCAATCGACTAGTCCACAAGCTAGTCAATCGACTAAACCACAGTGAATAGATTAGACCACGGACTAGTATTCAGACTAATGATTAGACTAGTAGACAGAGTAGTTCATAGATTACTCCATACACCAGTCCATAGAATAGTCAATAGACTAGTACATAAGCTATCAAATAGACTAGTCCATGGACTTGTCAATCGACTATTTCCTAGGAAATAAACTATGGGTACAGATAGATACTCCTAGATCATAAAATTCAGCCCGCTGCTCCACTTCTCCAAGGCGGGCGGACATGCCTTGATTAATTTTCGACATTCTTATATTGCCAGAAAATTTTTCTAAAGTTATAACTATTTCTATACCTTTTGGCATTAAGCAATAACAATAATCACAGCAGATTTTAAGGCTTAATAACAACAAAAATTTAAAGCCTATTTTAGGTTTATCAATATAATTATATGAAATTTATTACAAAACAATTCATAACACTTTAAGTAAATAAATACTTATCTATATAACATTTACATATATATGTACATAGTTTACTAACACTATTACAAATAACAAAAATATTAAAAATAAAACAATAATCGTTATCTCCAGCAAAAAATAATATATAAAAATTTTATTTCCTCAAAGTTTTATAACTAAACCAAAAACTATAAACTTATACTTTCAATATGTTTTCAACCTATTTATCTGTCATAAAAAGCCACCACACCGCATCTCTATAAATAAACTTTACAAATGTAACAAAATATAAATTTTTATTTGAAACTATTCAAAATACTTAATCCTTTATTGGTTTCTATTGTCTTTAATCTCTTCCATCAGTATTAGTTTTTCTTTTTTTATTATGTTGTCTGCTCTAGCATTATACGTTTAGGGATCTTTTTTTCCAAATTCTTTACAATTTTGACAAACAACTACATAAAAATTTATTGCATTTTTTACCTCTTTTTTATTAAGGGGATTTAAGCACATAAAAAAATTATGGATTCCTTTAAGCTTATAATTTGCTATATTGATTTATAGTTCAACTGAAGGCAGACAAAAAGGGGAAGGAAGGATAACTCAATAGATTTCATATGTCGTTAGCTAAGTTATAAAAATAATAAACCTTTTGGTAATTTACCGAACAGCACAGTGGTTATATAAAAAGCTAAATTTTTGCTTTGTTGAAATAAAAAAGTGCTAATCGAAAGTCTTTTAAAAATTCATCTATAAATTCAAATTACTTCGAAAACAGATGCATAAAAGACATAAAATGCCAGGGAACAAAAAGCCCAAAAGAGGGGCACAGATTGAAAATAAATGAAAAGAAAAGACGACCTCGAAAACACATCAAGAAAATGTTTTTTTTACTTTTTAGATTTTTTCATTTAACACCTAAATGACACAAACACATTTATATTAGGTGGGCACCAAATTGTTAAAATTTTTATAGCAAACTGTTTTACTTGACATGAGAACGAAATGGTGATATGTTAAAACATATCTTATTTCTAAAAAGTTTTAATTATGATTCTTTTTTTTTCTCCTTAGTTTGGAGGTCCTACCTAATATACATACTTAGACAACAAAGTGGTTTCCTATTAGATGGTTTCCTTTCTCAATTCTTTTTTTGTGAATTACCATCAACGATTTTTTTCTATTCTGAAAAAATTTTATGATTGTTATTATTGCTCAAAACAAGAAGAAGAAGAAAAACTTTTTGGCCACAAATTTTTATGGCACCTCATTTAAATATAAGAGCACCCAAAACAAACAAAAAAAGACACATAAGTAGTGTTAGAAGAATTATTTTACTAAGTTTTTCATTTAGATAATAATGAAGGAAAAGGTCTAGGAAAGATTGCAGGTTTATCAGGACGAAAATGGAATGCTACTAACTAACTAACTAACTAACTACTAACTAACTAACTAACTAACTAACTAACTACTCTACTACTAACTAACTACTAACTAACTAACTAACTAACTAACTAACTAACTAACTAACTAACTACTACTAACTAACTAACTAACTAACTAACTAACTAACTAACTAACTAACTAACTAACTAACTAACTAACTAACTAACTAACTAACTAACTAACTAACTACTACTAACTAACTAACTAACTAACTACTACTAACTAACTAACTAACTAACTACTAACTAACTAACTACTAACTAACTAACTAACTAACTAACTAACTACTAACTAACTAACTAACTAACTAACTAACTAACTACTAACTAACTAACTAACTAACTACTACTAACTAACTAACTAACTAACTAACTACTAACTAACTAACTAACTAACTAACTAACTAACTAACTAACTAACTAACTAACTAACTACACTAACTAACTACTAACTAACTAACTAACTAACTAACTAACTAACTAACTACTAACTAACTAACTAACTAACTACTAACTAACTAACTAACTAACTACTAACTAACTAACTAACTAACTAACTAACTAACTAACTAACTAACTACTAACTAACTAACTAACTAACTAACTAACTAAAACTAACTAACTAACTAACTAACTAACTAACTAACTAACTAACTAACTAACTAACTAACTAACTAACTAACTAACTAACTACTACTAACTTAACTACTAACTAACTAACTAACTAACTAACTAACTAACTAACTACTAACTAACTAACTACTAAACTAACTCTAACTAACTAACTAACTAACTAACTAACTAACTAACTAACTAACTAACTAACTAACTAACTACTACTAACTACTAACTAACTAACTAACTAACTAACACTAACTAACTAACTAACTACTAACTAACTAACTAACTAACTAACTTACTACTATGAGTATGAAAAGCTTTCCAGTCTGAAGTCCTAAGCATAAGTGTAAAATTGCTGAAAAATGCTTTTTGTTTACTTTAATGGAAAAAGGTTGAATATTTAGGTTTTAGTATAAAAAGCTTTTCAGTATCAAAAGCTTCTTTGTACTTTCAGCATTTGGCTAAAAGGGTTTTTATGCACTTCAGCATAAAAAGGTTTTATGCATGTCTGTATAAAAAGCTTCCTAATGCATTAAAGAATTAAAAGCTTTTCAGTATCGAAAGCTTCTTTGTGCTTTGGTCTCCAACTCTTCTATAACTTAATATATAGATCTTTAAGCTTTTTAAATTTAAAACTTATTTTTAGTAAAAAAACCTTTGTACGAAAAGAAAAAAATTAAATATTAACATTCAACATTTATGTCACCAACGTTTTCTTAAAGTAAACTAATGTTTAATAGGGTATTTTTCCCAAAAAAAAACACACACACCAAAAGACAACAACTACTAACAATCAGACAATGTGTAGATAATGGCACTTTAGAGAATTGATATTATGGGTTTCTTATACAACCAACCAGGTTTTATATTAAAGTTTATATTATACCTTATAATATTCTTAAAAAATATACATATATATATTTTTTATTTTTATTGTCCATATGAAACATGTCATTGTGTGTTCGCAAGTGTGACTACAATTTAAAACACATAAACACGTAAACATGTTAAAAATCTAAAAAATATATATTTTGATTTTAACAACCATAACCAATATTAAGAAAATTTTTAATTTATATTTTAAACGTACATATTTTGAGATGATCATTTAATTTAAAACAACAGATTTACTAATTTAGCTCCAAAAACTAATAACTATTTTTTTAGTTGAAAAAACTTAAATTTTCAAAAGCGTTCCTTAAACAAAGGTAAGTTTTAGAGTTTAAAAAAAAAATCCTAAATAACATTTAGTTATATGTTTTATTGATAAACAAAATTTTAAATGAAAATATTTTTATATGTTTTTATACCAACCTGGAGTTCGGCCTTAGAGATTGAACTGAAAATAGAAAAAGAAAATAAATATAGTTTTGTTATGGTGTCAAAATATTGATGTATGTAAATAGCAGTAGTATTTTAGAGTTTTATAAAAAAATAGTTGAAAAAAATTAACCCATTCATAATAAATCATGTCATTTAAAAAACATTGTTTTAATATAAAAGAATAGCATTTATCTATATATCTCTTTAAATAAAAATAAATAAAAATCATACATTTTTAAAAATAAATT